CTGTATATATATATATATATATTAATATATAACTAAGCTGATATAAACATTTAAATGAAGAGAATTGCTCTATTCCATCTCGATGCTTGCTAGAAAAACATATAACAAAAAATATACGTTGCTATTTTAAAACATCAAATTTATTTTAAGTAGCTTGGATAATGACACCTAAAGATAAATTTGTATTCATCTGATGCATCGCTTACTGCTGTATAATTTCTGCCTGAAGTTCTTTTAAAAATGCTGAGTATTAGAAATGTTTTTCCGTTTGTACATTTTTAAATAATTCAGTATAGTAAATTTTATTATTTTTTATTATAGAGACATTTTACATCAAATGTACAAAAATCTAGAAAAGAAATATATTGATATGACCAAATTTGTTGCTTTTAACGTCTTGGTGATCAGAATAACACTATTAAACACAATACTAGAAATGTAACATCGTTGCATTTTTCATATATTATACTACTTTAAGATTCCTTTCAACGTGCGAAGGAAAAATTAAATAGAGTAGAAATGGTCACAGACGTAGATACCGACGAATTACTTGCAAAGAAGCGAAGAAGAATTACAGCATCTAAACATATTATAAGCAGTAGCGATTCAGAAAAGGAAGATGCGTTTGCAGGACTTTTAGCAGCATATCTGCGTCAACCAGTTGTGCAACAACTTATCAAACTGATTCATCGTTATCTACACGTTGCAGTAATAAGGATACAAGTAAAAAAATTGTATTTACAAAACACTCGAGCGCGTTGCTCGATTCTAGATTGTATATTAATTAAAAGCTAAAATATTTAAAGCACTGGTCAATTAGAATAGATTTGATAATTTTTAGTATTACATTTTGAAATTATTATTAATTTTACAGCAACTGTTCATCCAGAAAATCACACTATTCATCGCAATCGCATTTGCAATCCGAAGAACAGGCTCATTCGTCTCATTCCAATCTTTCTGGAAGTAATGCCAATACAATTGCCAATAACAAAATTATCAGTAATATCTCCAATGGTTACTTATATATTTCTTAATAATTCCAAATTTATCGATTGAAAAGTTGCTAATCTTGTTTTGAATGATCGAAATATTGAATTATTTTTATCCCCTTTTTAATCATAATTAGCTTTAAAAGTATTGATTGAGACTTTTATTATATTTGGTATTTTTTTAGCTACTTCACAAGAAGAGAAAGGAAATGAAGAATTTCAAAGATCTTTCACGCTCCATTGAATCCAAATCTATACGATACAGTAACATTTATTCGGATTCTGAAAACGAGTCTAGTAATTTGGTACAACTTGCTAAGAACAATAAAAATGAAACCGCACGTAAACCTCCATCAACAACTGCGCAATATGGTAAGCAGACAAATGAAATGTAGATTATAATTTTAAAAAGTCTACATATACAGGGTGTTTCCAAATTAAATCGCAAAACTTCGGGAGCGTGTAGAGGAGTAAAAAACTAAGAAAAAAAGTCCTATAGACATATGCTCGTTTTTGCTCCGTTTCAGAGAAATCGAAAAAAAATGTTTACATTTCTTGCCATATCTAGCACCGACATATTTGATTACATTTTCCACTTTCTGTTATGAATTTGTCAGTCGCTCTTTGAAAGCCTTTAACAGTAGATGAATTTTGTCTTTTGCAATATGCCGCGTACGTATTCTAATAGTGAATATGCTGATATGGTTTTTGTATACGGTTTCTGCAACGGTAATGCTTTAAAGGCGGTGCGAGAATATGCACGACGATTTCCAAACAGAAGAGTGCCAAACCGAAGAGTGTTTATGTTGACATTTAATAGATTGCGAGAGACTGGATCATTTTCAATTCGACAAGAAAACAACCGATTTCAAGCAGCGTTACGAAGAGATTTGCAGGCAGGGAATCGTATTTTACAACATTTTGACAATCATCCTGAGACCAGCGTTCGGAATGCGTCGGCTGTATTGGGAGTGTCACCACAAACAATTTGGCGAACTGTAAAAGGAGATAATCGCTATCCCTACCACATTCAAAAAGTGCAAAATTTATTACCTCAAGATCATTGGAACAGATTGAACTTTTGTAACTGGTACCTTCAGACATGCCACAATGATATTTTATTTCCATCTAAAATAATGTGGTCAGATGAGGCAACATTTACCAGAGGTGGAATAATTAATCAAAGGAATTATGATATATGGGCTCATCAAAATCCCAGGTCTGTTAGAGAATACAAATTTCAGCAAGAGTTTTCTGTTAATGTCTGGCTTGGAATTTGGAACGACGTTTTAGTGGGACCGTTTTTTTTACCTGCAAGATTAAATGGGGACCGTTTTCTAAATTTCTTGGAGAATGAATTTTCTGACTATTTAGAAAACATCCCATTACAACAACGTACTGAAATGTGGTTTCAATTAGATGGATGCCCTGCTCATTACAGCAGAGTCGCTAGAACCTGGTTAGATAGAAAATTCCCACAACGATGGATTGGACGTGGAGGAGCAGTACATTGGGCAACTCGTTCGCCCGACTTAACGCCATTAGATTTCTATGCATGGGGTACTCTGAAGCAAGAAGTTTATTCTTCGCCTATTCAATCAGAGCAACATTTGAGAAATCGTATCGTAGCTGCAGCGAACAGAATATCGCAAGAACAGTGCCTGGCTGCTACAAGAGCCGTGTTTGACAGATGCAATGCTTGTATTGCTGCAAGAGGTGCACATTTCGAACAAAATCTTCATTAAAAAGTTTATAAATAAAATAATTAAAATAATAAATTAAATATATTTTTTTCTTTTTTCGTGATTTCCTGCGAAACAAAGCAAAAAGGAGCATATGTCTATAGGACTTTTTTTCTTAGTTTTTTACTCCTCTACACGCTCCCGAAGTTTTGCCATTTAATTTGGAAACACCCTGTATATAATATTATTAATAATTAATAATTTTGTGTTGTTGCAAACAATTCTTCATTCCAAAAATACGTTATAAAAGCTTTGACAGATATAAAATATAAAGTAAATATTATTATTGCGAATCAAAATGATGAACGACGTGAATGTAAATCTTGTACAAAGAACCAAGCGGATGTTTGTCTCTATGTTTTCTGTAAAAAACAACACAGAATTACAAACATTAGAAAGATTCTTAGTGGATGAACAAAACCGCGCCAAAATAGTAAGACATTTGTTTTATAAATAATTTATTATTTTTAATTTCATTTATGTTTTTGATGGTTATCTAAATAGAAAACATTATCATGACACATCAAGTAAGTGACATCAAAATAGCTCCAAAGTGATTACTGGAAATCATTTTTCAATCCGTAACGATTCATTTTAACGTCATTGTGACGTTGCTATTTACTATTCTGTTTGTATTTATATAAGTGTATGAAGTACTATTGCGACTTTGCGCAGACAAAACAATTACGAAAATTGGGCGGCCAAAGTATAAAACATGCTGTACTTAACATCTTGACAAAATGCTTCGCACTCAAATTAGCGCAAACATGCAGTTGGCTTGGTAGAAGAAAGAAAAAACAGTTTTCCAACTATATTTTTGTATAATTGTAATAAGTAAGTTCGAAATACTATAAATATTTATTTTTGAAACAGAATAATTATATAGTTTATTATAAATATTAATTAACTAGTGATAAATTAAATTGAATTTATATGAGATGAAAGAAAACGTGTAAAATATTTTTGTATATTGAATCCGAATCATTTATGTTTTTCTTTATCATTCAATTTTCCATTTTTTATTTGTACTTTGCCATTTATTATGATAAAAAGCAGATAAGAATGATAAATTAATGATAATTAAAAGCATCAAACTCTTGCTAATACTTTTTAAAATTGATTTTACTTGTTAAATCGAAATCCATTCCAAGTTTTTTTTCAGTATTCAACGTCAACGTTTCGAGTTATTTTGAATCACATATTTAATTCGTTAAAAAATGTTATTAATTCTTTGAAGCAATACATAAGAATTTTATGAAAATAAAAGTTCTACAGTTTCTCAGATCACTGATTTCGAATCTGATTTCGAACAAGTATTTCAAAATTTTGAAACTGAAAATAGTGAAGTTTTCTATCTATATTTAATCAGTATATCGTGTATTTGCATGTATACAGGGTGTTTCCAAATTAAATCGCAAAACTTCGGGAGCGTGTAGAGGAGTAAAAAACTAAGAAAAAAAGTCCTATAGACATATGCTCGTTTTTGCTCCGTTTCAGAGAAATCGAAAAAAAATGTTTACATTTCTTGCCATATCTAGCACCGACATATTTGATTACATTTTCCACTTTCTGTTATGAATTTGTCAGTCGCTCTTTGAAAGCCTTTAACAGTAGATGAATTTTGTCTTTTGCAATATGCCGCGTACGTATTCTAATAGTGAATATGCTGATATGGTTTTTGTATACGGTTTCTGCAACGGTAATGCTTTAAAGGCGGTGCGAGAATATGCACGACGATTTCCAAACAGAAGTGTTTGACAGATGCAATGCTTGTATTGCTGCAAGAGGTGCACATTTCGAACAAAATCTTCATTAAAAAGTTTATAAATAAAATAATTAAAATAATAAATTAAATATATTTTTTTCTTTTTTCGTGATTTCCTGCGAAACAAAGCAAAAAGGAGCATATGTCTATAGGACTTTTTTTCTTAGTTTTTTACTCCTCTACACGCTCCCGAAGTTTTGCCATTTAATTTGGAAACACCCTGTATATCTTTTGATTCTGGGGGACTTTAAAATTTAAAATTCTGGCTAAGATTTGAAATCAATGACCAAAGAAATTTATTAGAGACCTTTTATATCCTCTTGAATACAAAAATGCTTCACGGGATTAATAACATTTTTTAACAAATGAAGGATGTAATTCAGTATAACAAGAATAATATAAGAGTATTGCAAAGAAAAAATTGAAACTGATTTTGGTTCAGTATGTAAAATTAAGTTTAAACAGTGCTTGCGAAAATTTAATTATGTTTTTAATTATCAGTTGTTTATGATTTAAAGTTTTTTTACCCTTTATTTAGTGAAAGCTCACCCTAAACATCGAAATGTCTCGAGAAAAAAAAGAGGAACAAACAAATATAAAATTTGTTTGTGTGTGTTCCTATTACTCATCTTTTTAAATCAGCATGACAAATTACTTCAGAGTATTATTAGTCGCTGATTGATTCTCTTTATTGGTCAATATTTTCAGAGTAAGATATATTTATTACTAGAGAGTTTTGAAATAAAATCAACAAACTACTTTGCGCATTTGAAAATTGATTACTGAAATCGACATTGTGAGGTCTAAAATTTTTTATTTGTTTTTTCAGATGTAGTTCAAAAACATTATCCCTATGCCACAAACGCGATCATTAACACTTTTATTAAAGAATGGCTACGTCGCGCGCCTGAGAAATGCGGCAAAGATGTAGAAGTAGCAGCAGCTGCACCTGAAATTACAAATGTCGATGATGCAAATACTAATAATTAAGATAAGTCCTGTCGTAAGCAATATATATATATATATATTAAAGAAATTAATAATTTTGTTAGTACTCATATATTTTATGATACACTTTAAACATTTTTTATTTTTATATATTTTAAAATTATAGTTTTTATGGCCAATGTGCTTTTGTTGTGTCACATCAAATCAATTTTGTTTTAATAACTTTGTGCAATTGAATAGTAATCTAAGATTGTTTTGCATTTCTGCGATTATAGTCCAATTATTTGGAGTATTGATACTATTAATTAGAACTCTGTTAAATTAATGCTTACAATGAATTCAAATTCGAAAATTTTATGCAACATTTAAAAGAACTAGTGCGCAATCTGACAATTTTTAAATGATTCACTTAATATTGTTTTCCAATGATACAATCAATCATAGAAATCTAAACGTTTTTTTTTATTAGTAACTTTATAATCCTAAATGTGAGAATTATTATTTAATATATGTATTTCTATGATCTAAGAAATTATTTTTAATATACACTATTGCTGCTCAAAAATGTATAAAATATTTTATTACGATATTATGTAATAATTAGATAATAATAAAAGAGATGATATTACAATAGTCGCATAATTGATTAATAACAAAAGATCTGTTCTTTTCAGTTGAACTTCATGTATGTTTCATCTTTTTTTTTACATTGGAGAAAAAATACGAAAAGATGTACGATGGAAAAAGTTCAGCTAAAAGAGCAAGTTTAAATTAATGCTTATCTTTTATGTTTTTAATATTAAAGATCTTTAATATTAAAATATATTCCTTTATTTATCGAGTTAAAGTAAGTTTTATCCGTATACCGTGCCTATATGTAACAAATTTCAGATTTGTGAGGATTTGCAAGTTCAAAAACAGCGATTGTATATACCCACATATAGCACATGGACATCCAATGGACGTTCGAAATATATCCGATTGATCCGATACGGATATCCGTGGGACATCTGTTTTCGTCCGTTGGATGTCCATGATACGTACTTCCCAATGTCCGGCTTTGGGATGTAATACGTATGTATTATGGACATCCAACGGACTCAAAAGTTGTCTTGACGTTTGCAACCGATTTTGAACCTTCGTTGCGAGCGAGTCGTATGTCGTTTCGAAAATGTTCTCGAACTTTCTCTTGATGGTATGATTGTCGTACGCGGGATGGAGGTTATCTGCTGTACATGATCGTGCGACCGATCATCCGATTTACGCAGAGTCGCGGAACGCTCAAACGTCTCACTCGCTTCCTCCCCCTTCTCCTCCTCCTTCCTCTCGCGCTTGGGGGCAGACGCTGCGTCATCGTCGCATGACTCTCTTTATCGCGCGCACGCCGTGGCAGTCAACGGTCTGTCACAGCGGTTTGATAATAGGCTTAAAATGCCTGTTCAACGCCATGTCCTCCTCGATTCTACCGATCTTCAGAGCGCGATGTTTCTTGCGGATCGACTCGCTCGTCTTTTCGACCTCCCTCGCTTTTTTTTCTCTAGCGCACATCAGCCATGTTCGTCTCTGGCGAAGTATCGACAACGATTGACCACGTTACGGTATCGCGAACTCGTTAAATCCTTTTCTGTATCTTCCATCTTTAAGCGCAATGTCCTTGTCTATCACTAGTAATCCATACTTTTGTCGTCAAAGTCGCGGCACAACAAACAAAATTCATCGAACAACATGTCGATATTTACGTGATCGTTGTAAACGTGATTCAAGTTAGTACCGTCCTGTTTGAACAGGATCAGCAGGTTCGCGTTGTCGCGTACCAGATGTTTAGGTATTCTTGCGTATGTCTGATAGAGATCGAAGTATTCGACATCCGCTCATCGAGAAGTATTCTTTCACCGTATCCTGTTTGACGCATGCGACGTCATCAAAGATAAAAGCATTTGGATGCGCCTCGCTTTGTGGAATATCGTCGCTGTTGTTGGAAAACGTAAAGTAACCGATTTCGTCGATAGACATCAACAAATTTTCGAGATATGTATACTTTGGTTGTTGCAACGATTTCGAGTACATACACGTTCTCGAAACGTTCGAGCTCTCGAGCAAGCTTATGAAAGGTGGTTTTACCACAATTCGACGGGCCGCAAATGATCGCGTATATAGCATTTCGCCGTGCTTGCGCTTTACCACTTGCCTCCCATCATTAGCGAATTCGAGTCGCAGTTCATGATGCGTATCGTCAGCGGTTTCCATACGAATTTCATGCTCGCATTACGGGCTACGAGCTCTCGACCGCCTATTTAAAGGCGCGCCAACTCGCGAATCGCGCAGTATTAAGATGTATTTCGCGCTGTGCCATCCTTCCAACATTCAAGACTTGAGTGCCGAGCAGTTGCAGTATATACCGAAAGTCGTACTGTTACGCGTGTATGGTGACTGTATCGACCACGTATGGAACAAGCTTCCGGAACACATGAAGGCGGATTCGGAGGTTCGAATCTATTGTCGCTGCGACGAGCACTACAATCAGCCGTGGCAACGGACGCACATCAACAGTCCCGCACCGAAGATAAAGGACTGTAGCGAAAGTCGGCGTCTCGCGGCAGTCTGCTGAATCGAGCGATAAATGCGCTTCTTTTCGAATTACATATTCCGAGCTACCAGTGTTGCAGCCCGGACACTTGGTTGAAGAAGCGATTAGCCAGAGGTGATAAGGATAAAAATCCGCTGGACGCGGCGTGTCGGGAACAGCGTATTCGCACAGCAACGATGTCACCGACGGACAAGGTACTCGCTGATAACGCGCTAGGACGCATCATCGCGAGAGATTCGATTTTGAATGAGAGAGCCGGTACTTCTGCCATCTGGGCAGCGATGAACGCCAAGACCAAGGTTGGCATAGGCATGAAACCGAAGATGAGGAAAAAGACGAAGAAGCGGATACTTCCGATGGCGAAACGGGTGATAGCGGTAAACGACAGCAAAGCCGCGCGACGTCAGCTTGAGGAGCTGCAACGTCACTATCGTGCGATGGAACAGGGTCGTGGGCTGTATCTCGCTCCATACAAATACAGACTGTATCTCAGCCCGTACAAACGCGGACAAGTCGTAGCAGCGAAGAAAAAAAACGTCGAAGAGACAATAAAAATGCCCTCGGGCGCAGCTACTAACGTGCAATTGGATGAGCTTGCGAGACGAAACGAAAGTGATATCGTGAATCTGGATGATGCGACGGTACCCGGTACTCACTGGGTAATGTACGCGAAGAGAAACAACCGCGTCGTATACATTGAGAGTTTTGGTAAACTTCGACCTTCTAAAGAATTGGTGCGATATTTCGGGAACGGCGTTACAACGATAGAGTACGATCGCATGTCCTACCAGACGTACAATCAGAGCTTCTGCGGACAGATGTGCATGCGGTTTCTACGAACAGCTGATGTGCGTGAATTTAAATAGTTCGACGAGCTGCCGTGTAATCTCAGTATTCATGGAACGCTTTTTCCGTCATGTCGCTGATGCTTACTCTGAGCGGGAAGAGCAGCGTCCTCGCGGAGAACTATTTTCCCGCCATAGATTTGAGCGATGGCGTTTACGCGCTCGGCTTAATGATTTTTGAGACTTATCACACGATACCGAACGTAAACAAATCGAACAACAAATTTTAGTTCGGTAAAGACGATGTAGAAATTATAATTCCCCAGGGTTCGTACGAAGTACGAGACATAAATGAATTTCTGAAACGTGCGATTTTACGGAAACGTCCGCGTCGCGACACGCTTGATACCATTGATGTAGTGCGCAGTGATACGGCGCACAGCGACAACAACAACAGCAACGACAACGACGAAGGTGGGGAATACCCGATAACGCTCCGCGCAAACTACAACACGATGAGATGCGAGATTAGATGCGCTTACAGAATAAACTTTGGCAAGCTCAACAGCATTGGATCGCTGCTAAAATTCCCGTCGAAGCGTATACTGCGATCGCGAAGATTGCACAAATCGGATGTGTCGATCAACATATTGCACGTAAACGTTATCCGCGTAGAGTGTAACATGATCATGGGCGCGTACAGCAACGGTGAAAGTGCGCACACGATATATGAATTATCACCGAACGTGCCGCTGGGGTATAAGATATCGGAAAGACCGGCGCAGATAATTTATTTACCGATCATCGCTCGGAACATTACGGATCTAACGATATCTGTGGTCGACTAGAACGGATGATTGCTCAATTTTCGATGAGAAGAGATCACCATCAGATTCCACGTACAACGGCGATAACGCGAGCATTAGATGCTCGTGCTGAACGGAACGGAGCGCATGCAGAGAGGTAACACATTCTTTACAAGGCCGGTGACGTCACAGCTCGATAACACTTGCTCATCCAGCTGCATCAGGAGGAAGAAGCTCACAAGTAAACCTTCAGAAATGTCAGACGCCGATTATTTTCAAAATTTTTACAGTTGTTTCTTATAACAAAATAAGAAGAAATCTGTCATTAATATAGCCCAAATTGCGTCTGTCTCTTAAAAAAAATTTTTTTTTATTTTTTAAAAATGCCGGATTTTATGTTTAAAGCAATATTTCTTACAAATAAATGTACACCCGATATTTTGAAGCTCGATAAATAAACACATATAGAACACCAAAATGATAATTAAATATAGTTAAGAACGATCCTCTTGAAAAAAGCTTCTTACAGAAATGAAGCTAGGAATTGATTTGGATTAACCTCACGTTATCCTAACTCAAAAATCATTAACTAAATTGCTAACAGAAAAATTAAGCTAGATTAATGTTTCTGTTGCGTAATAGCGATTTAGTTCGTGATTGTTTGATTTTTTAGTTAAGATAACATAAGAGGTTAAGCCAGATTAGCTCTCAGCTATGTTTCTGAAAGTTTTTTTTAAGAGGATTATTTCTTAATTCTCTATTTTTAATTATTATTTTGGTGTTCCATATGTGTACCGACCCTCAAAATATCGGATGTATATTTATTTATAAGAAATATTGCTTTAAACATGTAAAATCGGGTAT